CCAGTTTATTTCCAGGACCCCTGGTGTGTGTGGTTTTCAAGCATGGGTCTATCCAATCTCTTCTTTTTTTTATTATTTAAAATTAATTTATTAACATATCGTGTATTGTTAGTTTCAGAGGTAAAGGTTACTGATTCATCAGTTGCATTTAACACCCAGTGCTCATCCCATCACGTGCCCTCCTTAATGCCCGTCACCCAGTGACCCATCCTCCCACCCCCCTCCCCTATCAAATCTATTCTTAAAGCCCTTTAAGAAGTGGTAGGCAGAAGTCGGGTTCTCAAACTGCTGGAAGCAGCTGAGCAAGTTTATGAAAAATAAGGTTTAATGTTATGATTAGGGAAGGGAAAATGGCTTTGACTAGTTGGACTACAGAAACTTAAAATGCTTCACACATACAGAATACGCCCTCTGTGTTCACCTCCACAAAGGGGCAGAGATTTATAGCGCTTTCTGCTTTTTTTAAACTAACAAAAATAACAAGATAGAGAAAGGGGAAGTGTCCTGCCTGAGGACGCAAAGCAATAGTAAGAACACAACCAGGCTCTCAGAAGAATAGCCAGGGGATGTGTGGATGTGGAAAGAAGCCTCAGTCTCTCTTCCTCAGGCAAATTTAATCAGCAGGGCTAGAGGGGGAAGAGAGAAGAGGTTTGGGGAACAAAGGTAGACTCACATAGTCCTGACAGGTTGGAGGTAGCCGGACCAGGACAGCAGGGATCTGAGTCAAATTCTAGACAGAAGAGAGGCTGACAGAGAAACTATGGCTGTTGTCTGGAAGCCCAAAGAGGTTTCTGTGAGAAAAGCTAAGAACGAGGGTGCTGGATCCAGACACGCCTGGGTGTACCCTCCGTCCCTACCCATGACCAGACTTGTGCCCTTGCGGGGAGGGGGGGATCACTTAGCCATTCCTCGTTTCCTCAGGGGGAGAAGGGGCTCCTCAGAACTGTTGGGAGGAGACTGGCACATCGAAAGTGCTCAGTCACTGTTAGCTTAAAACCAAGTGTCACGCTGCCATGAGTGTGTTTCTTTGAAGTTGGCACTACTTTGTTTGTTGACCTCAAATCGTTAAGAATATGTTCCAGATTAGTCAACAGTCAGGTTTTGACGTCAACGGCAAGTTGCTATGTCCAACCAGAGGCCTTTCCCAATTCCTGGTGCTTGTGTGCTTTTGGGGCTCGGGACAACCCTGCAGCATCTCAGCCACCTGGGAGAGACAAAACCAGGGTGTGCTGCGGGTCTCGAGCTGCAAACCCCCTCCCCAGAGTGGACTGCACTGGAAACCCGGGCCCCTGGATTCCGACTGCACTTGATCCAGCGGCATTGCCCCTCCCCCTCCCTCCCTGCCTCTTTTCCAGCCCATTAGGAGTCTATCATTAATTCTCTCAAAGTATGAAAAACATCTGAGGGCACATTCGATGCTAACCGTTTCTCCCCATCTACCAGGCTCTGGGGGTGCAGAGAAGCCAGGGTCTGCACACGGTTAAAGGGGCAGGTGCCAGTCACAACAGCCAACTGAAATGCCACAAGGTCCACGGGACAATGGGGGGCCATGGCACCATGAGTGTCCCAGGGGAGCTCCAACGTCATCCAGCCCACCTCCGCCAGACCAAGGCGGGGAGACTAAAGCCCAGGGAAAGGGAGGGACCTGCCCATGTAACCGCAGAGGGCTGAGCTGTGCTGCCTCACCGCTTTCCTGTGAAGCCACAGCACCCCCAGCTGCCCCAGGCACCCCCAGCGGACCAGGACAAGGACCTGGGAGCGAGGCATGTGAGGGGAGGGATACTGTCTGACAGGACTGAAGGGAACCCTCTCAGGACAGAAGGGCTGGTGGGGCAGGGAGGGGTTTCAGGAAGTCCAGAAGCGTGGGGAGTCTGGCGGCCGAGCCCTGGACCATCCCTCCCTAGTCTGAGGAAAACAGTGAGCTTGGGGAGGCAGCCAGACAGGAGCCGAGGCTGCAGAGGCTTAGGGGTGGCCGTGTCTGGAGACGTGCCCACTCTTGACTTAGAGATTACAGTGCTGGGGCTGGAGGGCTGAGGGGGTCAGCCTGAGTCTCACACTGGTGCATCACTCCCCGCCGTGTGAGCAGGATCTTCCTTCCCCACAACCTGCCCCCAGACAGGGACTCCTGCTATGAGAGGAACCGTCCTTCATCTAGTGAGACTGTGTCCCTGGATGCCCTAAATCCTGGAGAGTCGCCAAGTGGCTAAGGGCGAGAGAGGGTCCTGCTGCCCCACTGGCCTTCTATGCCCAATGTGACCTACCCCTATTGTGCCCCTGAAAGCCTGGTTTGGGTTTCATCTCTAGATCTCCCCACCTGCAGGGCCACCCCAATGTCCCGTGTCCTCCTGACATCTCTGAGGGTGGAGGCCTCTAAACCCCCACCCCTCAGTTCCTTGCTTTAGATCCCACCACCCCTCCTCCTGGAAGCCCTCCATGATTCCAGAAGGCCTGAGGTACAGTCAGGAAAGTGCTGAACCTGGGTCTACTGATTCAGCCACATTATGCCCAACCCAGGAACCCCAAACAGAACAACACCAGGGCCCACACCGGGTCTTCTTCAGGTCTCCAGGGCTCAGAACGTACTGTTCTCTATCTCCCACACTAGCTCTGTGCTGGTTCCGTCAAAGCCGCAAGCTCTCCCTGGGCTCTCTTACCCAAACTCTTCACATGGCTGTCTTCTTTCCATTGCTCCAATTTCGCCTCCTCAAACTGCCCTTCTGTGACTAACATGTTCTAGGAGGCTCTCCTACCTGGTCCCTCCAACCCATTATTTTTACTTATTTCCTCGTCTATTGACTATACCTTCATAAGACTATGTCCTGCATGAGGGCAAAGGACCTGTCTCTTTGCCCATCACTGTATTCTAGAAATGAAGACAGCACCAGACACTGGGCATGTGTTCAGAAAGTACCTATTAAAAGACTGGTTCGTTACCCCCTACTGAAGGGGTCTCTTTGGGGACATGAGGAAGAATGGGGGACCTAGATGGAACTAACCATCATCCCTCCTGCCTTCAGCTGAGCACTGGCCGAACACCAAGCACTTGACATAATTCTACTTCTTCAACTTTACAGCCACTCCTCATGATAGGGAGCGATTATTACCTGCTAGATATGTTCCCACCGTTGTTGTAATAGTGGATAGGAGGATAACTTGGTAATATTGGTGCCACCAATATTAATAAAAACTTAAAATACACAGACTCTCAACCCAGCCATTCCAATGCTAAAAAAAAAATCATCCTCCAGGGGCACCTGGGTGGCTCAGTCATTAAGCATCTGCCTTCGGCTCTGGTCATGGTCCCTGGGTCCAGGGATCAAACCCCCAGTTGGGCTCCCTGCTCAGCGGGAAGCCTGCTTCTCCCTCTCCCACCCCCTGATTGTGTTCTCTCTTTTGCTGTCTCTCTCTGTCAAATAAATAAGTAAAATCTTTTAAAAAATTAAAAATAAAAATAAATTTAAAAATCATCCTCCAGCTAGACTGACCTATGTGCAAATACGGTGCATACGTCTAAGGGTACAACACTGTGTATGGGAGAAAACTAAGAAGCAAGGTAAACACCTACCAGTAGGGGTAAGGTAAATAAATCATGGCATGTCTGTCAAACGAACGCAATGCAGTTGTTAAAAGAATGTGCTAGGGATGCCTGGGTAGCTCAGTCAGATAAGCATCTGCCTTTGGAGGCGCCTGGGTGGCTCAGTCGTTAAGCATCTGCCTTTGGCTCAGGTCATGATCCCAGGGTCCTGGGATCAAGCCCCACATCAGGCTCCCTGCTCGGCGGGGAGCCTGCCTCTCCCTCTGCCGCTCCCCCTGCTTGTGTTCCTTCTCTCACTGTGTCTCTCTCTGTCAAATAAATAAATAAAATCTTAAAAAAAAAAAAAAAAGCATCTGCCTTTGGTTCAGGTCATGATCCCAGGGTCCTAAGATTGAATCCCACTTTGGGCTCCTTGCTCAGCGGGGAGCCTGCTTCTCCCTCTCCCTCTGCCTGCACTCCACCTGCTTGTGCTCTCTCTCTCACTCCGTCAAATAAATAAAATCTTTAAAAATTAATTAATCGGGCGCCTGGGTGGCTCAGTTGGTTAAGCGACTGCCTTCGGCTCAGGTCATGATCCTGGAGTCCCGGGATCGAGTCCCGCATCGGGCTCCCTGCTCAGCAGGGAGTCTGCTTCTCCCTCTGACTCTCCTCCCTCTCATGCTCTCTGTCTCTCATTCGCTCTCTCTCAAATAAATAAAATCTTTAAAAAAAAAATTAATTAATCAATTAATTTAAAAACAAAATAAAATAAAAGAATGTGCTAGTGAGGCACCTGGGTGGCTCAGTCAGTTAAGCATCCGACTCTTTCAGCTCAGGATCTTTGGGTCCTGAGATCGAACCCCACGTTGGACTCCACACTGGGTGTTTAGCATGCTTATGATTCTGTCTCTTCCTCTCTGCCCCTCCCCGCCTCTAAACCATAAATAAATAAAAAATAAATTATTTTTACTGTAGACTTTTTTGGATTTTTATGTAGAGCTACTTTTTTTAATCATTATTTCTTTATTTATTTTTGGAAGCGAGAAGCAGAATTTAAAAGGTACAAAAGAACTCAGAGTAAAGTCTCTCTCCAACATCTTGATCCCTGGCCACGCAACCCCTCTCCCACAGGGAACCACCATTACGGATTTCTTAGGTGGATGGTAAATTCTTTTTTTTTTTAATATTTTTTTAAAGATTTTATTTATTTATTTGAGAGAGAGAGCGCGCACATGAGAGGGAGGAGGGTCCGAGGGAGAAGCAGACTCCCCACCGAGCAGGGAGCCCGATGCGGGACTTGATCCCAGGACTCCAGGATCATGACCTGAGCCGAAGGCAGTCACTCAACCAACTGAGCCACCCAGGCATCCCGGTAAATTCTTTCATTTACACTTTTTCTAAGACGAAGCAAAGTTTCCCGGCCGCAGGTGCAGCTCATGCTGAAACCCGCTCCTGGGCGGCTGCCCAGGGCCTCGTGGCTACTCACAGTTCAGAACGATCTGAGCTGCGCGGTAGAGCTGCAGGCGACACAGGAGGTCCACCAGCTGCTGGACGGTGGCCTGCCGCATGCCCCACCACCACAGCAGCTCCCGCGTGATGCTCACGCCCTGCACCCGCTCCATCGACTTGATCTTCCGCAGCTGCGTCAGGTCTGTGATCACGTACGAGGCTGGAAGGCAAGGGAGAGGCTCTGCTTAGCATCAGAAAGGCAGTCACCAGAGGGTCCCCAGGCTAGCGGGCTCTGTCCACAGCATACTCTCTCTCGCACCCCATCACACCTGAAATTCCACCTTTAGCTGGGGTCCACCGGCAGCCCAAGGTATAGGGCTGCCCCCACTTGATACCTGTGGGACTGGCACATCAACTACACTGGAGTGTAAATATCAACTTCACGGCCACACAAAACAGGAGAAAGCCCACTGGACCAGAGGGTCAGGGGCTTTGCCCTTTTTTTTTTTTTTTTAAAGATTTTATTTATTCATGAGAGACAGAGAGAAGCAGAGGGAGAAGCAGGCTCCCAAGGAGCAGGGAGCCTGATGCGGGACTCGATCCCAGGACCCTGGGATCATGACCTGAGCCGAAGGCAGATGCTTAACCATCTGAGCCACCCAGGCGCCCAGGGGCTTTGCCCTTTAGCTGCTTATTTGCTATGGGCAAGGCACTTCACCAGTGGGAGCCTCAGTTTCCTCAACTGTAGATGGGGAGGTAATGGAACTTCTCTTGCCTCCCCTCCTAGGACAGAAGCTCCGTGTAGACAGGGAGTTTTTTCTGTTCTGTCCACTGGAAGGTCCCCAGAACAGAGATCAGCACCTGGCACAGAGTGGGGGCAAGGCCAGGCCCAGGGTGAGGCAAAAAGGAGGCACTCATGGGGACAAAATTTAAGGAGGTGCTCACTCTCGGGGCTGATCCTGCACTCAGAAGCTGGAGAGTAGGTGCCTCCTTAAATTCTGCCCTGGGTGTCTCATTCTCCCCACCCCTAGGTCCCAGCCCTGGCAAGGGGGAATGAATGAATGAATGAATGAATGAATGAACGAACGAAAGGACAAAGGAACCCATGGCCCAGCATCCTCACAGAACTGTTACAGGATCAAGAGAGCCCGTGCATTAAAAGCGCTTTGTCCACTCTGAAACACCACAAAATTTGTGGGGGGGGGGGCACTGGCAGTAGTAAATATAAAGCATCCCTCCTTCACATATTTCATTATAAAATTAATGGTTGTTCACTAAAGAAAACTTGGAAAACGAAGGGGAGAAAACATTTATAAAACAAGTTACACAGCATCCCACTAGGGTACTTTCCCTTTCCCAAACTCTTCCCTCCCCTCGGCAGAGGAGCGTTCTAGATGCAGTTGTTGCTGGCCTGTGAGATTCTGCAGCCTGCTCTCATCTATTAACATTACACCATAAGCATTTCCCGAGTTGTTACAAGCTCTTCATAAATGGCATTTAGAATGGTCACATGTATTCTGCTGAATTTACTAAAGCGAAGGAGGCTTTTTTTTTTCCCTCTTAACTAGGAATAAAAGAATCACACTTCAGATCCAGAATTTCAAAAATCATGGAGCAGGAATCCACGTGAACATCAAGTCACTCGTTCACTCATTCAGCAGAATATTATTGAGCACTTCTGCGCTCCAAGACCATCACAAGCTCTAGAGATACTGTGGCAGGTAAACCAGAAGCCCGTGGAGATTTCTGTTTGAAAAATACAAACATAAGTGAATGGAGTGGGGAAGGGGACCACATTACAAAGGGCCTCAAAAGCCAGGCTATAGCCTTTGGACTCACTTCTAAGGGCCACAGATACTCTGGAAGAGCTCGGAGCCAGGGAGTGGCAGGATCACATTGCACAACCCCATCCCTCCAGAGGAGTGGGAAAGATTGAGACAGCCTCCCAAAAAGGGAAAGCCTGTTAGGGATGGAAAGTTCTCAGTTGTAACTTTAGTCACTGGAAACCCCAGGCCAGATTCTTGGTCAGCGGGAAGTGATGTCAACAGGGTCAGGGGCTGCTTCCAGCAGCTGAGAGGAAAGAGTGGAGAGAGGAGGAAGGAACACCTCCCCCGCACCGTCTCCCTGCACCCCTTCTCTGCATGCCAGGCTGTTCGCTGGCATGCCTCCCACTCTTCAGAGGCAGTGTGATGTAATGGGCAAAACAGAAGCCCTGATGTGATGTCCAACCACAGCGTTGTGGGATGTGCTCTCCTTACAGGCCGCAAGAGAGAAGTAGGAACTAAGCCCTGAGGGGCCTCACATTTCACAGGCTCCCATGACAGGGATGTAGCTTAAGGTAGCAACCCATCAACATTTAACCAGGCCCTTAAAACGGGGTCAAGACAAGATAGAGACCTGGGGGGAATGAGTCACTGCCACAGACCCTGCGAAGTTCCTAGCTCTTTTCTCAACGCACATAAGAAATACCTGATGATTACAGAAGATCCGGCTAACAGGACAAAATCAAAGTCCCCATGATCATCCCACTTGGAGGAACCCAAAACAAACACTGGTCATACCTTTGCTTCTATTCTTTCACTTTTCTACAGATATAAAAATACATACTTATGGGGCACCTCGGTGGCTCAGTCGTTAAGCATCTGCCTTCGGCTCAGGTCATGATCCCAGGGTCCCGGGATCCAGCCCTGCATCGGGCTCCCTGCTCGGTGGGAAGCCTGCTTCTCCCCCTGCTTGTGCTCTCCTCTCTGACAAATAAATAAAATCCTTTTTTAAAAAAAGTACATATTTCTATCAGCAGGACAGTATAATGGTGGTTCAGGGTCCAGATTTTGGATTCTGAGGCCTGGGTTCAAATCCTATCCTGCTACTTACTTGCTGTGTACTTGGGGAAGCCTTTCAGCTCCCCTTGTGCCTCAGTTTCCTTATCTGCCAACGAGGATAACAACCGCACCTGCCTCAGAAGTTGTTGCCAGGATCCGATTAGTTACATATACAGATGTACTTGGAATAGTGCTTCATACATAGAAAGTGTCACATAAGTGTTAGCTGTCATTATTAAACCAACTTCACTCTATGAAAACCTGCTTCTGTCCCCTGTGGTTGCCACCACGTGGGACCATCCCTCCAGGTCTGAGTCCCTGAATCCTGCAGGAGTTCCCTGAGAGTAGAAAATCTTGCCCATGTTCAAAGCCCTCTGGAACAGACACGACACAGTCTCCTGAAATGACCCACCCTAGGGCCAAAGACCCTTGTCAGGACTAGTGGGACTCCTCCCTGGCTAAGAGAAAAACACTAAGGAACATCCACACAACATGTTCCCTAAGCCTCTCGGCAACTCACCTCCGTTTTTATAGATGAGGACACGAAAGGCTCAGAGAGAGGCAGTGACTTGCCCAGAATCACACAGCCAGACAGGGACAAAGTAGGACAATACACAAAGCCTAGCACAACAAAAGAACCCCTGTCTCCCCACCCCTTGGAAGACACCTGGGTGGAGGAAGCTGTAAGGAGCCTGTTTTCCCCCAAGGGCAAAAATTGATGCAGCTGTGATCATAGGGAAATGAACGGGAAGCAGGCACAATATCTGCCAACAATTGTCAGAGCCAAAGAGCATACATATGTGTGGCCATGTGATTTTCTAAATCACTTGAAGAAGAATCTTCCTACCCCACGGCCCCAGTACCACAAGGGACCATCTTTTCGAAATGACTCACAGAAGCAGAGACTCTTTAGAGATGGAAGGACAATGGTGACCACCAGTTCTGACGAAGAGAAAGCTGGACAACACTGTGGCTTGGCAAGGAGCAGCTAAATGGGGACATGGCTGACCCCCAGCCCAGCGAACCCCAACCCAACATGCACCATGGCTGCCCTGGGCTCAAAGCCCTCTCAGTGGGGGGAGAAGTGCACATGCCCCATGGCCTCACCACTCCTACAGCCTTCAGCTCATCATTTATTCAAGTGCTGAGAGTCTGCCCACTGGCCAGGCGCTGTGCTGTAGGCTCTGGGAATACAGGCGTGAACTAGATGGGTGACGTCCCTGGCCTCATGGTGCTTACATTCTCCAGGGAGAGAGAGACATAAATAAATAAGGAATAAGGTAATATCAAGGTTTGTTACATGGAACAGCGGAAATAAAACAGTGGTGGTACAGACAATAACGGGGGGGGGGGAGTGGGCAGGGAAGGCCTCTAGAATAAGGGGAAGTATGAACCGAGACCTGAAAAACCATGGACCTCCAAAGATGTCAGTATCCCAAAAACCCCAAAACCTATGACTGTGGGACCTTACATGACAAAAGGGACCTTGCAGATGGGCTTATATTAAGGGTCCCAAGATACAAGGAGCCTGAATTATCTGAGTGGGTCTATGTAATCACAAGGGTCCTTATAAGAGGGAGGCAGCAGTGTCAGATTCAAAGGTATGATAACAGAAGCTGAGGTCAGAGAGAGATTTGAAAATGCTATGCGGTTGGCTTTGAAGGTGGAGGGAGGGGCTGTGAGCCAAGGGATGCAGGCAGCCTCTGGAAGCCGAAAAATTTAGGCAAGAAAATGGACTCTCCCTTGCAGTATCCAGAAGGAATGCAACCCTGCTGACTACCTTGATTTCAGGACTTCTGTCCTCCAGAACTGTAACATGATAAATGTGTGCTGTTTTTAAGGCGTTAAATTTGTGGCAATTTGTTACAGCAGCAAGAGGAATCTCATGCCGACTAGAAAGCCAGCTACGGTGAGCACTGGAAGAAGAATGTCCCAGGCAGAGGGAATAGCAAGTGCAAAGGCCCTGAGCCTGCACTGAGGAGGCCAGTGTGGCTGCAGCAGGGTGAGCAAGAGTGGATGTGGATTCTTCTCTAGTGCCCATGGAACATTCTCCAGAATTGATCACATCCTAGGTCACAAATCAGGTCTCAACCGGTACCAAAAGATTGGGATCATTCCCTGCATATTTTCAGACCATAATGCTTTGAAACTAGAACTCAATCACAAGAGGAAAATCGGAAAGAACTCAAATACATGGAGGCTAAAGAGCATCCTACTGAAGAATGAATGGGTCAACCAGGAAATTAAAGAAGAATTAAAAAAATTCATGGAAACCAATGAAAATGAAAACACAACTGTCCAAAATCTTTGGGATACAGCAAAGGCAGTCCTGAGAGAAAAGTATATAGCAATACAAGCCTTTCTCAAGAAACAAGAAAGGTCTCAAATACACAACCTA